CTGGTTTGTTTCTGACCAGCAATGTTTCTGACCTGATAGATCAGCCCTTGATCATAGAATCATAGAATCGTTTAGGTTGGAAAAGACCTTTAAGATCATCAAGTCCAAGCGTTAACCTAGCACTGCCAAGTCCACCACTAAACCATGTCCATAAGCACCACATCTACGCTTCTTTTAAATACCTCCAGGGATGGGGACTCTACCACTTCCCTGGGCAGCCTGTTCCAGTGCCTGACCACCCTCTCAGTCAAGAAATTTTTCCTAATATCCAACCTAAACCTCCCCTGGTGCAACTTGAGGCCGTTTCCTCTTGTCCTATTGCTTGTCACTTAGCAGAAGAGACCGACCCCCACCTCACTACAGCCTCCTTTCAGGTAGTTGTAGAGAGCAATAAGGTCTCCCCTCAGCCTCCTCTTCTCCAGGCTAAACAACCCCAGCTCCCTCAGCTGCTCCTCATAAGACTTGTGCTCTAGACCCTTCACCAGCTTTGTTGCCCTTCTCTGGACACGCTCCAGCACCTTGATGTCCTTCTTGTAGTGAGGGGCCCAGAACTGAACACAGCACTCGAGGTGTGGCCTCGCTTTAGCAGCAATTGCAATAGCTTGTATTTGGGGAAAGGTAGTAGGAGAGCTTCACCAAAAACACTTGATATGTAACTTAAGTTGTTCCTTTTTAGATGAAGTTGGAAAAAGTTTAAAATGTTGAAAAAGAATAAAGTTTCTCAAGCACTTTTCAAGTTCTAAGGGTGTTTTGATACGTGCCAGTTTAACTTGTTCCTGTGTTCATTGCTTTCTGTTTGACTTGAGGTTGATACTGAACACCGTCATCTGTGAAAGAGAACATAAAGCCCAGAGGCGAAGACGGAAAGTTGTTGGGTTTTTTTTATTACTTGCTGTACCATCCTATAATCTTTTTTTTTCTGAAAATTTTAATATAAGCAATACTTCTATTTAAAAATGTTTGTGCTAAGGGGTTCTCCAAAAGCTCCTGAAAGTATTTTATTTGGATTAGAGCTTTTATTTTATGTTACTTTGTATGTGGACTCTGCCCACGAGGATTTTAGCTTTCTATAAAAGCATTGGTGGTTAATTTCTGGTATAAGGATTAAATCTCTTACAGAACACCTTATGGTTGGGAATTGCTGATGTCATGACTATCATTCATTGGTTGCTATGGAAATTAAGTAGGAATGCATTCAATATTAATACTGCATTCCTACTATGTGCACTTTCATGATGGAAAAGTGCTCGCTTTTTCCAGGAATGCTAGCTGCAGTGATCCTTGTGACAAGGAGTGCTCTTTGCAAGTATGTCCGGGGTACACCCTTCCTTACTGTTGTGCAAAGTCATCAGGCACCCTGGTATGGTTTATGCAGTTCACATCGATTTTGTGCACTCCGTAATTATGTGTCCAGTCCTTGATTGTGGTAATGTGCCATGATGGATTTGCATGAGATTTTACTTATATAGGAGAAGTCACTGCCCAGGCACTTCACAGTATGTTTCTTCTCCTTTAGTTTGAAAGGGAAGTTCCTTTCAGAGATCCTGAAAGGTTGTGTATAGAAGTGTGGGATTTGTGTATCTGCTTTTTAAAGTGGTTTCCATGCAATCTCTTTCCTGTGGCAGGACAACAGAGTTCGGTGATGGTTTATTTTTGTTAAGTCCTGGATTCTGCTGTTTGACTTCCGTTTCAGGCTGTAAGGAGCAGACCATGTCTTACTCTAACTAGCAGCTGTATTTTCTTTGTCCTATTAAATTTTGAAATGTCATTCATTAAAATGCTGTTGCACTAATAAGTTAAGCTAATATTTCAAATTTGAGGTTAGGTAGTGATATAATTACAATTTAACACTTCTGGTTAAAATGTAAGGCTACTAGAAAAGGTTTCAGTCTGCAGCAGAGCTGTTTGCCAAGTTTCCTGAAGAAATATTTACGTCTTTGATTACTACCCGTTAAAAGTCAGACAGCTATTGTAGCACTGGTTAAATACAGGAGCCATGTACATCTACTCTAAGCCTGGTGGGGAAAAAAGTTTTTTAGAAATAAGCCAGGAGACTTGGAAGGGGACCTGCTGCTTAAGGGAGACTTGGCTAAAAAAAGAAGAGGACTACAGCATTCTGATTATACAGTTGAAAGTTAGTTTCACAAGAAAGAAACTTTAAAATATATTGGTATCTATAAGGAGTTAACACACCACCACCCCACCCCAGAAGAAAACCCAGGAAGAGTTTTGAAACTGCCTGTAAAATGTACAAGGCCATTGGTACTGATAGCAACGAGCTGCTGGCTTCTGCAAAAATGGTGCAATGGGAAGAACAAGTTGTTTTTTTTTTTTTGATGAAGGGCTTAAAGTGTAAGTGCAAACACAGCACCTTTTGTCCTCTATATCATAAAGAAGTATTGTGTGGCAGTGTAATTTCTTTTATAATTCAGAATTGATTGATGCTCAATGAAGTCTGTGGATTGTACCCTTTCGGTGTGGGTAGATGCACTTGATATGTGCAATAATGTCCCCATTCACTGGAGTGGAAGTCGTATTGAAAACTGCAGCTAAATTTGCTGTCTCTAGCAGCAGTGGCATGACTGATTGCTGAAAGTTGGAGCATGGAACTTCAATAGAGGTTTGGCAACACAGGGGAAAATGGTTGTCTGTTTTGGAGTGTGACATGAGGCAATATTTACCCGGCTCTGTTTCTCCCTTTTCCAAGCAAAAGGCAGGTTGCCAAGTACAGGGACTGAATGGTTTGGATCTCCAGTTGGAAACATTTTGCCTACACTGGGGTAAATGAGATGTGCAGATAGCTCAGGAAATCCGAAAGTTGTCCTCTATTTGTATACTACTTTACTTAATGGTCATGCAAACTAGATGGCTCATTCCATGCATATATCTTTTTATCTGTCCTCTATAAACCTCAGCTTTGTTCCTGTCTGTATCCCTCCCTTTTTAAAGAGAAGTTGACAAACTTTCTTAAGTTACTAAACCCAAAACTTTCCTATGACAAATATAAACAACCACAGAATTTCTGCACCTCTGGAACTTCCAGAGGAGTCATGGTAGAACCAAAGATCCATCTACAGTAGCTGTTGATATAAATATTTACTTCCAGACACATAGTAAATGCATCTTTAGTTGTTACTATTTGTGTATTTTTAGGATTAAAATTTTCTAGTTAGTGTGTGTTCTGGAGAAATGAAGATCTTGC